TGCCTGGTTTGACATGAAGCAGCTACGTGCACTGTAAACAGCCGAGTGGGCTAGAACATTCGTTTCCTCTACTCTGTGTCTGACACTTGCACCAGCCTGTGAGCTCTTTGGTTTGGGCTGAAAAGGTATGCGTGAGAATTTTATTAAAATGGGACATCTCTTCCTTCCTGTCGCTCCAGCATCAGTGACTGAAGCAAGGGGAGAAAGTGGGCAGGCACAGCAGTTGGCATTTGAACTTGGGTCCGCCGTTAGAAGAAGAGTAGCCGACCGTTTGCAGTGGGGCTGTGACGCCGATGGCGTATTCACCAGACACCCAGTGGAAACCGGGGTGGGGGACACGTGCGTGCCCTGGGGTGGAACAAAGCTGGCAGAATGAGCGGAATGGGGCGTCTCACGGTAAAGATGTGGGCCAGGCGGCGCGGGGCGCAGGCTTCCTCTCCTGCCGCTGCTCACACACCACGCTCCCAGCTAAGCTCCCCAGCCTGCCCGTCCTGTACACTCCACAGGCACGCGGATGGAAAACAGCTTCCCCCCACCATCCACGGCTCACCGCTATTCCCCGGAGAATACTTCTTAGGGCCCGAAGTGGATGATGGAGGGGTCGTGCAGAAAGGCCTGGGCTAATTGTCACGAGGCCCTGTTTCTGGTCCCAAGGTTACAGCTGTCTGTGTGGCATTGGGAAAGTCCTTTAACCGCTTTTGTTTGCTGTTCCGTCTTCTTTAGAATGAGGCTTTTCTTCGCGCCCTCCCTACTCCACAGGACCGCGGCGAAGACTGTGTCAGAGGATGGACATGGAAAAGGCTAGGAAACCTCTAGAAGGCCGGGCCCATGTTGTCACCACTGTTGGTTACCTTGGGTTTCTTTTCCACCCATGTTGGCCCCAGCAGGGAGATTCACTTCTACAGCCGCCGTCCCTGGTGATCATATTCCCTGGGCCCACATAGTGTATGTGGTCTGACAGTTGCACACTGGACTAAGAGCTGGACAGAACCATGGACTGGGGACTCTTCAGGAAAATGCCTGTTTACGGCCGCCTCCAGTGTTGGCTGCACGACTCGCCGACATCCTGCACAACTGTTCACGGACAGCAGTGTGCTCTGCACGCTGCCCCCGGCCATTCCAGTGCTCGCTGCTCTCCCAGCGCTCACCTTATCTCCACGTCTCTAGCAGCCTCAGTCTTTGCAGCAGCTGCTTTGGTGTTTCCATGTTTCGATGAACCGTCCACTGAACCGGCCCTCCGGTCATGGACACCCAGATGCCCATGCTCTTTCGAAATCTGTTTTTCCTCTTTTTTGAACATCTAAAATGGTGATGGTAACGGTAACACGGCAGCCCCCAAAGAAATGTTGCATTATGCACAGTTCCTTTTCCTCCCCACTGGGTTCACCCCTAGTGTTCACCCCCTCCCCAGCACCTCATCCTTTCTCCAACAACTGTGGGCTCACCTGGTTTTTCGCCCTTGTTGCTGGGACCCAAGGCAACCCCCCCCCCCATTTTTTTTCACGGGCCAGTTCCTACTACTTGTACTTGGTTTAAAGTCAATCTATTGCACTTATAAATGTATTAACTTTTCTCTAAACCATTTAAACGCTGATCAATGATAAAACAAGACTTAAAACCTTACCGATAAATACAGCCTTAAACACTTACCCACTTAGTCCAATTATCCTTTTTTCAGTATGAGTTTAATATAATTTCTCCTGAATGCTTTAAACACCTTAAAAAAAAACAAAAGCTTTTACTGTATCCATACCTAAGCCTATTTGTAGAAATCTTAACTATTGTTTTGACCAATTTCTTTGTGGTATTTATTATACAAAACTTTTTTTTTTCCCTTTTAGGATTGCAATATCACACCCACAAGAGAAAGAGTATCTCCTTCCCAGGTGCATCAAAATCACAGCCTGTGGGTCATTTTGGCTGATGGGTTTTTGGTTAGAACACGGAATCCTTCAAGGTGACTTAAATGGCAGCAGGTGTGCTCGTCAGGGCTCTCCCCTCACATTAGGTTCCTCTGCTGTGTCAACAGCACTTATAAGCAAGTTCTTGCCACCTTTACATCCATGTCCATGAAATCTTGGGTACATGATGCTTTGCCTCAGTTTACAGTTAACTTCATTACGCACCATTAGCATTTCGTTTTAATTAGCAGGGCCATATGGCAGTTTAATCTGTTGTCATTCTCCTAGGACATTTGGCTAATCCACTAACGTGGATTAACCCACTAACCAATCACTAAACCCTCTTTCTACCTGATTTGTGAGGTCACTGGTCTTGACCTGGCCCTTCCTGGTTTTGGTACAGTTCCAACTCTTTCTGGAAATCTTGGACTTACTCATAGTAAGCTTATCTGCTCTTCTCAACTTACACAGATACAGCATTTCATAAACAGATATACGGAACTTCAAGTAAAAAACAGAACCCTATATATGCCAAATTTACCTACTTTTACTAACATAACCCATTTTTTCCTGTTGAACTGCAACTAGCATTGTAACTACACATTTATCTTTTTGTCTTTTCGTATACATAGTATTAACTTTTCCTTTGTAATCATAAAGGACTCATGGCTTTTCATAGACTAAACAGTTACACTTTGTGACATGCAAGCTATCACGACCTGACCAGAGGGGCGCCCTTTCTGTTTTCAGCTGACTCCTTGGTCTTTTCAGCAATAACCAAGCACTTTTTGCAGCATCCTGGTTTTCTGGCACTAGCAAGATGTTTCAGGCTTTTCTGATTTTCCACGCTCTCAAACGGGGACTCAGCCTCTTAGAAGGAGCCCTGGCTACTGCTAATGAAATATACGACTGAGATCAGTATATGGGTTGCGGAGGGAACAGGTGGGCTGCTGATGAGATGGCACTCTATGGCCCCTAAAAAGACAGAACTAGGAAAGATGGTTCTTCCTAAGGCTATAATTATGTTCACAAGTGAGATTGCTCATACTGTTCTAACATTACTATACCCGTTTCTACAATTTTAAACAGACTTTTCTCTACAATGCCTATTTAGTTTTGACACTTCCCTCAGACTGCGATTATCCCCACCTCTGAGGCTATCATTGCTGTGTGCCTCAAGGATCATTGTTTTGAGGTTGCCCATACATATCCTTTCTCCAAATCTGCTTTCAAGAAAGCATCTTAGAAAAATATGTGTATAAATTATTGTTTTCATGTAAATGTGTATTCATCATATAGCTGTTAGATATCATTATAAAATTATTGACAAAAATATATTCAATCATGTAACTTGATTATTGATTATATAACTAAATGCCATTTTGTGTTGGTAAGTTTATCGACACAAATTCATTGACATGTGGGCTGTGAGATGCTGACTGCTGGGAGGCTGATCCCCTCTCGGAACCATCGTTGAAGCAGGATGCCATTCATTATATCACTTTGAGCAATTTATATTTAATTCTAATGCCTCTTCATTAATTGCAGGCATTTTGAGATATTACTGGCAAATGAAAAGAATAAAGATGTTTGCCGATTGAAACTGTGCAGATCACCCAGCAGAGGGATGGACGGGCCAAGGGTGGATTGACCTCTCCATCTGCAAATCTGGTCCCTTGGACACGGACTTAGTCATTTCTGTACACCTGTGGCTAGCACACGTTTCGGTGACAACAGGTGCTCAGCGACTCTTCTTCAAGTAGAGAAGGAAGAGAATGCCTTGGAAACAATGGAGAAAATCATAGCTGTCCAAATAGCCCAAGACCATCACCCCGAGGCCAAAATTGCTTCTTTAAAATTTGACTTTGATAATATTCTGAGGTAACTGGGTTTTCAGACAAATTTTCAATTGCTTCATTTCCAAAATTCATTTTGGTCATAACATCCAGGAGCAATCCATCTGCTAATCAATAAATAACATTTAAATGCTGCTGCAAGAAAGGCAACCAGCACAAAACCAATATTGTCAGCAACCCAGAACAACTCTACTCTCCTGACAGAAATTGATTTGCAGCAAAATAGAGATTATTGTAAATATTTATAGTTCTAAAAGGAAAAGCTTATCAGTGCAGCTTTTTAAGCAGCTCATTTCCAAATGAAAGACTGCTCAAAATCCTCCTTGTGATGAGGATGTGGTGGGCGTGTCACAATAAGCCTACCATGGCCTTGGCATTTGTTCTTTTGGGGGCGTGGAGGGTGGTCTGGGCACGTCCGGGATGGCGGCCAAGTGGGAAGAGTGATGGGCATAGAGACCAGTTCCACTCCTGGGTCTTCACTGACTTGCTGTGTGATCTCAGAAAGCCACATACCCTCTCTGAACAATCCCTTCCTAATCTACAAAAGAACAATAATCCTGTCTGTCCAGTTTAACCTCCTACTTGTGAGGATGAAATTGGGGGCGAGGGGAAGAGATCTCTCTGAATATACATTTAATGGACTGAGCACATCTGGGGTCTTAGAATGACTCCTTATCTCCCAAGAACGGGATTGGGGAACAAGGCAGAAAGTCTCCTGAGAAACCAGATGCACCCACCTGAAGCTCAGTGTCCATGGCGGTTTTACTCCTGACGAACAAGTGACAACGAGAATGAGTGTGTTCAGTTAGTAACACTGCGGTGCAGCGGGCAAATGAGGATGAGAAATACCCGTACCTACGTCACGCTGCTCCTGTGCTGATGAGCTCAGGAAAGGGCTGTGCACACCGACAGAGGCGATGGGTGTGGGGCCTGCAGGTAAGTGGCGGCACAGCTGTGGGAACAAAGGGCTTGCGCTTCAGGGCTGTCTGAAGGAGAATTTCTTGAAATTGAGCAACAACAGAGGGGAGGTCATTCCAGGAAAAGACGGAACAAGCAAAGATGAGCACTTGAGGAAAACCATGAAAATAAATCAGCGTTTCCCAAACTTCTCACCTGAGGTTCACTTGTATGGCCTTTTTTTTTTTTTTTGCCTTGTCTCTGCACCACATGTACTATTTAAGCTAATTTTTAAAAATGTACATAAGTTGTATTTAAAAAGAAAACTTTGTATTACTACCATAAATGAAAAAAACCACTATCATTTATTTTGAGCAGAAGATAACCTTAAAAATACAAGCAACACGAAACTCATTGATTTTTTTTTCAATAAATAGCTGTCAGGCTCAGTTCCAGCTTCCGGGGCTAAAGGGGTGACTAGGAGGGACAGAGGCAAGCAATTCGGATAAATTAGTGTCCAATAGTAACAGACAATGAAGAAAATAAAGTGACTTAGGGTTACTTTAGATGCGTTGGTCAGGGAAGGCCACCTTGGAGATGTCATGTGAGCAGAGATCTGAAGGAAGTGGCAGCATTAACACCATAACATCCAAAACAAAAACAAGGTCATTACATCTCAACATAATGATAGACACTGCTGCCTGCAGGAGGCTGTGTGTGGGCCAGGAGGGAAGGGAGCAGGTGTCAGGCGTGCACACACTCAGCTGCGACTTTCTGCAAGACCATCAGGCGGGCAGAGGCCAGGCAGTCCCTTTCTGGGGCTGGCTGCAGGTTGTTTCATTCTGTCTGCACCGACACATCATCAAGGCGGGTACCTCCAGTGGAAAGCATCCCACTTTGGGAAACTGCAACCTGAGAGGGAGGCAGGCTGTAACCACCCCTATTAACACATTGGTAAACTGAGACCAAGAAAAGTTAAATCGCTGTCCCAGATTAGTTAGTAAAGGGCAGAACTGGGCCACGAACCCTAAAATATTCCATGTCCAGCCCGGTGGTTTCATACCATGTGGGTCCAAGGGTGGGCTGGCAGGTAGGTAGGTTCTGTCTCAGGCATAACTAGGAAAACTTCCAGTCCTGCGATCCGTATTCCAGGCCTTCAGATACCCGCTTCTCAGGAGTGGTTCAAAACGCGGAGCGGCGGAATCACGGAGCGGGATCCAGAGCGCGGCCGCTGAACAGGAGCATGCGCACTAGCCCGAACCAGCCTGGCCGCGCTCGGCGCTGGGGGTGGTTCACCCTCGGCTGACGTCCGCTACGCCGGCGTCAGCTCCCGGTGCAGAGGAGGGCGAAGACTCCATCCGCCATGTTGGATGCCGCAGATTCGCCATAACCTCGCCGGCTCTTTTCTTAAAAAAATAAAAATACAAAGCGAAGCATCAGCGGGGCACCCCGCCTTCTCGGTCGGCACGGGAGAGGGCCCGGGAGGACCCGAGGCTTTTTTTTCCTCCGCGGCGGGGGCGTTGCCATGGAGACGCGGGCGGCAGGTGAGCCGGGCTGGGGGTTGGGGTGGGGAAGAGGTGGGGGTGGGGCGCGGCGCGCGGGAAACCGCTTCGAGTTTGGAGTCGGGAAGAAGCGCGAAGGCCTCCGAGCGGCGGAGGGATCCGCGGCCTGGGGCGGAGAGCGCACGTAGCGGCGTCCTTCGACAGCACGCTCGGTCGCTGGCAGTATCCCGCCGCCTGGGGTTTTTATTTGGGGAAAAAAAAAAAAAAGTAACAAGGGTGCGAGAGCAGTGCGCGCGCGTGCGCCGGCCGTTTCTAGGACAACGGGCAGGGCTGGGGCGCGCGCCAGCCGTGGGTCGCTGGCTTCCGCATGGGCGGGAGGTTCGAGTCCCGGCGCTGCCAACTCTTTGGCTGAGCGCATGTGCCTCCGTCTCGCCTGGCCTCAGTGCCCTCCTCTGTGAGTGGGCAGCTCCTTTAGACCCAGGTGCTTGGCCAGGATGCCTTGAAGGGGCAGGGTTCCACCGAGCTGCTGGAGGAAGGATTCTTTGTGTCCTATGGGGGGGTGCAATAAACGCGAGGGGTAAGCGTTGCTGCTGGTGACTGTGCAGCCCGCTGTGGTCCATTATAATTTGCCCTCTACCTGCGGCTCCGCTCTGTGGGGCCTTGCTACCCACCCCTTAAAGTTAAGCTTAAATGCCTCCTCCTCCAGGCAGCCCTCGCTGGCTTCTTGGGTCTAAGCAGCCACCCAGGAGGCTGGACGCAATAGCTTGATCGGCCTTTCACGTAACCCCAGATCCAAGTCCCTTAACCTTAAGCGTGGGGTCCCTTCATTTGTAATTAACAATGGCTTCCACACGCCAGCACTGACCGCCCACGTTTTGCCGCTTATGTCTCCCAACGACTCATAATTCCTGAGTCGTTTACTGATGAGGAACAAAGGTTCGGGAGAGGTCAACTTCCGTTTTGAAATGGCAGAGCAGGGGCTTTCCAGATGAACTTCCCCAAATTAGGGATGAAGTCCCAATGCCTGCCCCTAGGAAGTGCTCAGTCTGTGTTTGTTGAATGAATGAGTGAGCTAACAGACCGCCTCCCGCCGCTTCCTTCCCAGCCGTCAGGTTCTCTTGCAGAGCCCAAGGCCCTTTCTGAAATGCACACTTAACGTCCCCAGGGGCTCTTTCTCCGCGATGGCCCCTCTCCAGCGTCAGCTCCTGAGCCCGAGCCACACAGAAGCAGCTATCTTGTCTCCGGAGGAACACACCCGGAGCTTATGTTTGGTGCCACGTCCCCAACCCCAGGCGCCACCTGTCTTGGCTTCTTCAATTCTAGCCGACAGCTTTGCACGACGCCCCCTACAGGCCAGGCAGGGACAGAGCCGTTGAGGTGGCGTTCCAGCCCTCAACCCCACGTTGTGTCTGATTGAGGCGTGTGTGTGTGTGTGTGTGTTATGGGGTGACCCAGCGGACCCCCAGCCTGCGTCCTGGGTCAGGGCCCTGAACTAGTCCGGCGTCCTTTCTTATGTTGACGTAATAATGTCCAAACATGTTGAACATTTTTAATAATAATATATTTGAGCCACACAGACTCTCAACAGGCTGAGGAAAAAGGCTTCCAAGAAATGACCGTTGTCAGCTTCCTTTATGTGCCTTTGGAATGAAGGAGAACTTGAAGAAGGTTACATGAAGGTGGGAGAAAGCCAGGCTAGGGTGGGATTACAGGATACTTAGCAAGAGATTGTGTGTTCTCCCGAGGGTGGTCACCCTTTAGGAGAAGGGCCGCATGCTTTAAAGGGAGGGGTCTGATAGGGGACATTTCAAAGGTGCATTAACCTAGACGCAGAAACAAGGGGCAGGGTTTGCTTGAGGCAACGATCAGCCTGTTATGAAAGAAGTGACCTGCCTGGGGTGTGATGACCGACCGTGACCTGCTCAGTTAGGAACCTGTGATCAGATCGCCCTGTGAGGTTCCTTTCGTGGAACCCCTTATTCGCCCACACTTAGAGTAACGACTTCTGATTTGGGGCCTCCCCTCTCCCAAGCTGCTCAGCCACCACCAGGACACAGAGTGGACTGCCCACCTCTTCTGGGGTGGACTGAACAGTTTCAAAAAGGAAACTTGGGCATTTGTACTTTCCTTCACTTTCCAGCTATTAAAAAAAAATGAGAAAAGAAATCATAGTTTTCAGTGTACCGCTGTCAGCTAATTTCTGAAGTGTCTCCTGTTTTGCTTGGTCGGTAGGTTAATTTAGGAAGGCAGCGCAAAACTGCACGATGGGGCTGTATATGGCCAATGAGGCCCAGATTTTAGGTGGAAAGGTAGCTGAGGTGCTCATCTCTGTAAATTGGAGAGTTTTGGTTTTTTTTTACCGCATTGTTCCCTTCTTAACTGGTTTCTCATTCACCTTGGGAAATCGCTCCTGTGTCTTTTCTTCCTTTACCATATAATTTATGTAAATTTTCAAAGATGGCTATCCTTAAGTAGAATTGAATTTCTGCCTAGGGCAAGGGCAGCCGTGAATTAGATGTATTAAGAATACTCTCCTTAATTGTATCTCTTTTTTATAGATAGTTCCATGCAGGCTGCCTCTGAAAACCTCCCAGTCTAGATGGGCTGATCTAATTGTGTAGAAGGAATTTAGCCTGGAGTTAAGTTTTCTCTTGGTTCTCAGCTGTTTATCCTGATAAACTTTCACTGTCTTTGACATTTCTCAAGGGCAAGTGTCAGCTTTAAGGGCTGGGCCTGTTGGGCCAGTGGAAGGAACCGTTCTCTGGGTCCAGAGATCTGCGGCTCACCAGATCCCCGGCCTGAGGTGAGTCCCGTAAATCTCGGAACCCTGCCCCTCCTGCAGGAGGAGACACGGTGTCTAGTCTCCGAGGGGCAGGGTGCAGTGTGGCCGGCACTGTGGTCCTTCCCTGCCTGGACCCGGCCTCTCCATTGCACAGCTCAGCACATTGTCGTCCACTCGCTTATTGGAAACATTTGTGGATGGGAAGGTGGGAGAGACTTGATTAATTTTTTAAAAGAAAAACAAAACTAATCTGAAAGTGAAGCAAATAGAGACATATTAAACATTTATCACAGTTTGAAGTTGCCTCCCCTTTTTTTCCCCTCAAAGGAACAAAAACTATATAGATAATTGAGTTTGCTGGTAAAAAGGTTATGCTGGGCATATTAATGTGAAAACGGGGATTTTCAATTGGGTAACAGACTTTTCTTTGTTCTTTTAAATCATGGAACAAAGGGACCTGCACACAGGTAAACCCTGGAATCTGGCACCTGTGTGCCCCAAAGTGGGTCTGGGCCGAGGCCTGATGGGCAGGGCAGGGACCTGGCTTCAGAGGCAGTCTCTGGCCTAACTTGGGACCCTGGGGGATGAGGGGCCCAGCTCAGCCATGACGCCTTGAGCCACGGACCAGGAGGCTTTGTGGGGAGTGTTGGGGAGCGCGACGGTCTTGGCCATGCTGGCCTCCTGGAGGGCCTTGTAAGTCAGCCCCACGGCCTCTGCTAGGGCCTCCCTGGTGTCACACACGGTCTTTACGCCTCTGCCAGCGGCCACCACCTCTCCACCCGTAAACACTACTTCCTTTTTTCACACACCCCCACCCCTTTTTGTTAAATTACCGAGCAGATTTTCCCGGTTCACCTAAGTGTTTGCACCCAGAGCTAGAGACGCTAAGTCGAATATGACACGTTCCCCCTTGGGGCTCTGCCTCAGTCCTCGCAGTGGAAAACCGATTCCTTTAGGAGAAGGCGCCAGGTGCTGTGATGGAAGGAAGCCTGAGGATTGAGGGCTTTAGCGGGGATGCACTGGGCCTGGGAGGGCTTTCCTGAAGGAGGAGACGCAGGAGCTGGACGGGCAGGGTGGGCAGAGGTACCTGGCGGAGGGGGCAGTGGTGCAGAGGCTCAGGTGTGACTCGCCCGCAGGTGTCTGGGTGAGCCCTGAGGCCAGCGGCCGGGGTGGGGGCGCTGGAGGTGTGTGATGACGGGTCTTCGGAGCAGTGGGCAGCTGTTGGGACTTTATTATGAAAGCTTGGAGGGCAGAAGGATCACAAGGCCAGCAGTCGCCTGAAGAGCCTTTTGAGGTGTCATTTAATACAGTGACATGCGCAGACCTTAAGGGGACAGTTGGACCCTTACAGCATAACCACACCCCTAACCATGTGTGAACTTTGTCATCACCCCACAACGTTCTCTCCTGCTCCCTCCACCCAACCCCCGCCCCTCACTTTAGCAACCACTAGTCTGAGCTCCATCACCGAAGATTAGCTTTGCCTTTTGTGGGACATCGTGTCATCCTTTTGCATCTGGCTTTTGTCACTCAGCACAGTTTTTGAGGTTCAGTATTTTGCTCCTTCTGTTGCTAATCGCGTCCTGTGGTGTGGACGTGCCACGGGGTTGTTTATGTGACACAGTGTTTGGCTCTTGTGAACAAAGCCGCTGTAAACATTCTTGTACAGGCTTTTTATAGACAGCTTTTCATCTCTCTTGGGCAAGTAAATGCCAAGTAATGGGATTGCTGGGCTCTCGGGCAGAGCTACGTTTCGCTTTTTGAGGAACTTCCAAACCGCTTTGCAGAGCAGTTGTCCACTTTCCGCCCCGTCAGCAGTCAGGGCGTCCGGCGTGCTCCGCCCCCTCGCCCAGGCCTGCTCCTTCGTCTG